TGGTGCATTTACGTACAAGAAAATACTACAAACCAAGACAGCAGAAGATCAAGGCCCACAGAACCTACTTACAGAGAACAGACAAGCCGACGTCGAGTCCAGAAACAAATATAACGAAGCGGTTCGCAATGGCAAAAACCAGCATGATATAAAAGTTAGGCACAGTGTAATGTCGCAGCGCAATGGCAGTCGGTCTTTCTGGACGCTGGCCAAGCAGATTGAAAAGAACTTCTCACACAGTAGCCTTCCACCACTTACGTGTCAGGATGCAACTATTGTATTCGACTCAAAGGCCAAGGCGGAAGTGCTAGCCAAGATCTTTGCTGCCAACTCCACCATGGACGTCCCCACCAACGCCCAAGTGCCGTCAATTCAAAGGGTTCCCCACACTATGCGGGAGGTAACATTCCGGCATAAGACCGTAAGACGAGTGCTCTTGTCGCTCGACATCAACAAAGCTTCTGGTCCGGACTTGATTCCTGCCATTGTACTGAAGAGATGTGCAGCGGAGCTTGCTCCAGTTCTTTCGCGTCTCTTCCAGATATCTTATGAATCCGGCACCTTCCCAGAAAACTGGAAATTTGCTCATGTACAGCCCATCCCAAAAAAAGGATCTAAAACCGCCCCTTACAACTACAGGCCTATAGCTCTGCTTTCTGTTATAAGTAAAGTGATGGAGAGGTGCATAAATCGCGAGCTTCTGGACTACCTCGAACGTCACAGCTTGATTAGCGACAGGCAGTACGGTTTCCGGCACCAACGATCCACAGGGGACCTCCTAGCTTACGTCACGCAACTGTGGAGTAAACTCATCCAGTCTCATGGTGAGGCTCATGTCGTTGCTCTTGACATCACGAAAGCGTTCGATCAGTTGTGGCACGCTGCCCTCTTAAGCAAACTTCCATCCTACGGCCTCCCAGAAAAGCTTTGCAGATGGGTGGCTGACTTCATATCTGGCCGCAAGATATCCGTCGTAATTGACGGGTTCTCCTCTTCATCCCACAACGTCAACGCGGGTGTTCCCCAGGGATCGGTCTTGGCTCCAACACTGTTTCTCTTACATATCAACGACCTCCTTTCCTGCACGATCAACCCAATCCACAGCTTCGCTGATGACAGCACTCTACATGCAGGAATTCAGAGTGACAAGCCGATCTCTGCCGCTGAGCTGGAAAAAAGAAGACTAGCGACGACTTCTTCTCTGACAAGAGACCTGGAGGCTATCACTGCTTGGGGACGCAACAATCTTGTACAGTTCAATGCTTCCAAAACACAGTACTGTACTTTGACGAACAAAAAGCGTCCTAGCGCTCATACAGTTTCGATGGACGGTCGAGTTCTACCAAAGAGCCATTCATTTCGGCTGGTTGGAGTCCAGATCACCGAGGACCTGATCTGGCACGAACACATCTCTTCAATAGCTGCAGCTGCTGGGAAAAAGCTAGGCTATTTGTTTAGGGCTAAGAAGTACTTTTCTCCGCATGACCTTCTCACTCTATACAAGGCCCAGATAAGGCCTAGCCTTGAGTATTGCTCACACATTTGGGGTGCTGCCGCCCCGACTACATTGTCCATGCTCGATGCTGTCCAGAGGAGGGCGGTCCGACTGATCGATGACTCTTCCCTAACAGACAGTCTCGGGACTCTTTCGCACCGGCGGGCCGTCGGCGATCTGGCTCTTTTCTATCGCTACACCAACGGGCTTTGCTCCTCAGAGCTCTCTTCCATGATGCCGCCGCGCGATGTGCCTGCCAGACAGACTCGCCTGACTTCGGCGTCCCATCCTAACCGTGTCAAACTTCGTACATCCAGAACTGGCCGATACGACCGCTCCTTTGTCCCGAGGGTGTCTAGATTGTGGAACAATCTACGGAAGGAAGCTTTTCCCAGTTCTACTAACCTTAGGCAGTTCAAAAATCGTATTAACAAAATTTCTTTGGGATCATCATAGCAGCCGCGGTGTTCCGGCATTTAGGCTTCTGCCTGCGCGGCTGTTTCGATATAAAAAAAAAAAAACGTACACCTCGTGAGTCAGATTTTAAGACGTTGTTTAGATTTGAGGAGGAAAATGTGGTGTGGTTGGCAAATTACTTTCTTGGTATGGATTTCGAAACTCGTGGAGCAGCCCAGTCACCTGTGCAGAAAATGAAAATATTTCTGCGGTATTGTACGAACCTTGGATTTCAGAGCGGAATAGCTGAAGAATTGGGATGTTCGCAGCCCACAGTGTCCAGAATATTTCATGACGTGCTAGAGCGAATTGTACAAGCCGGAGGATTTATCAGTTTCCCAAATACAGAAAATCAAATGATGCAGGCCAAAGATAAATGGTTGACCAGGTTCCGTTTTCCCACAGCTATTGGAGTTATCGACTGCACGCATATTCGTCTTGATGCAAAACCGGCCCAATTTGGAGAGGAATATGTAAATCGAAAAGGTTTTGTCAGTATTAATGTACAGGTTACATGCGACCCTGTTATCACTAGTATAGATGCATGTTGTCCTGGATCAGTCCATGATGCTCGTATATGGAAAAATTCGGTAGTGTGTGAAGTCATGAAAAAGACAAGAAACACTATTCTTCTAGGGGACAGTGGGTATGGTATAATGTCATGTCTTATGACTCCTTACACCGACCCCCACGAGGAATATCAGAGAGTCTTTAACAGGCTGCTTACATCAGAGCGACTTGTGATTGAGCATACATTTGGGCAAGTAAAGCGGCGATTTCCTATCCTGAAGTATGGATGCAGAGTAAAACTGACCAGTATGCCAAAAGTTATAATTGCGTGTGCTGTGTTGTACAATATAGCTAAGCAATTAAGAGGCGAAGATTTTCAAGAAAATGACGAAGATGAAGAACAGGACTTGCCATTTATAGAGAATGAAAACCTTATACTTTTACCTTATGCTTCCGAGGATATGCTTCTCTTTTATGAATACGGCTCATTGAGCATATTCCATGAGGTTATTGTTATCTTCCAAATCTAGACAAAACGTTCAAGAATAAAATAGGTTAAAGTAGACCCAAAAGCAAAATAATATCTACCATGAAACACAAACTGAAATCCTTACCTAAGATTATATAGATTATTATAATATACTAAGTGACATATAAATCCGAACACCCAGTTTAAATGGTTTTATTTCAATAAAATTTTGTATAGGTACTTAATGAAGCATAATAAGTAAATGATAAAAATTCAAAATGATTGCACTGCTTTAAAGCCCTTTGACCTTTAATAATGTGTGGATGCACCCTGATGTGCTACGCATTCTCCAACGCCTCTAGGCATGCTTCTGATTAGGTGGTCAATGTCCTTCTGTGGTATCTCATTCCAGGCAACCACCAACTCCTCTCGAAGTGCTTCTAGAGTCTGAGGAGGACGTTGCAAATTGAGCAATCTCCTACCCATCATATCCCACACGTGCTCAATTGGGGATAAGTCGGGAGATCTTGGTGGCCATGGTAACAATGTGACATCATTATGTTGAAAGAAGTCTATTGTGACTCTTGCAATATGTGGTCGGGCATTATCTTGTTGCAAAGTTGGATCTGCCAGGATGTCAAGATAGGGTAAAAGATGGGGTTCTAGAACTTCGTGGATATAACGCTGCGCGTTCATGTTACCTCTGATGAAGATTAAAGGTGACCTGGAACCATAAGCTATAGCACCCCAAACCATAACCCCAACAGTGTGATGAACATGTGGATTCCTCCTTTCACCACGTCGCCTTCTAACCCTGGCACGACCAACGTGCATGCCTAAACAAAATCGAGACTCGTCACTAAAGACTATACTGTTCCATTCCTGATCCCAGAGTGACCGTTGTCTGCACCACTCAAGGCGATTACGTCGGTGTTCTCGAGTTAAAGGGAGGACCCAGTGTGGCCGGTATGAAAACAAGCCAAAACTTCTCATTCGTCGGTAAACACTTCGCATGCCAATAGGTCTTCCGTGTTCTGCAAACCATTCATTTGCAATGGACCTGGTAGTGGAGAAACGGTCCCTTAAGGCTAATAATCTTAGGCGGCGTGTTGTTCTACGGCGGCGTCCAGTGCCCCTTGCTCTTTGCGTACGGCTTTCTCGAAGCCATGCCTGACAACACCTAACCACAGTGTCTACACTTCTTTGCACTCTAACTGCAATTGCCCGAAAAGAAAGTCCAGCTTCCCGAAGTCCCACTATACGGTCCCTATCAAACTCACTATGTTGACGAAATCGTACAGGTCTCCGTACTCTAGGCATCGTAACCGATCGTAAAGGATGTCAAGAACCAAAATCCGCCAACGTTGATTCTTTACTGCGGCTGAAATATTCATTTTTAGAGCGTTAGTGAATTAAAAAAAAGCAGTATAAAAACCGGAATGTCCAACTGATAAGGCTGAAAATTTTTCCCTTGTTATTTACAGTAAGATAAATACATTCACCAACTTTTATTAAAATAAAACCATTTAAACTGGGTGTTCGGATTTATATGTCACTTAGTATAATTTGGAAAATATCCATAACGTTATATCATTGTTTGGCCTATAACGGGCAATATTTTGAACACTTATTGAAATAAGAAGTGTTTTTGTTTCCTATCTAAACGAATTAAGATAGATAAAGATTTTTCTAATATTCTCGAAAACGAATCGATTGATTTTAAAAAATCAAAAGCCAAAATAAAGGACTTCGAAAGACAAGCTATTACTCGATACCCCTTGTCGTTTAACATTTTTAAGGGCATGACCTTGGGGGGCCGAGGGAGGAAAGAGGTGAAGTAGTTTTTTGTTAAAAAGTCCCCCTTGGCAAATCTTTTGACGTGACTCGTTTGATCAGTGGTTATCGGTTAATCCGTGGTGGGAGGTTTTCAAACGTATAACATCCAAAAAAATATAGTAAAATTTTCGTGATAACAATACTTCCCCGCTAGCATGCGTGAGAAGTAAAAGGGCCTGATTGTTATCTGTTGCGTCAAAATTATTTTGGTATTTAACATTTTTGATTGGTTTTAGGGTTTCGACTGATGGAGAGCATTCCTCAGAATAATGACGAAACGGGAAGCATTTATTCGATTTACAAACAGAAAATCGACGCTATGTTCGAATCTGACTTTAGCTCAACGAAGAACAGCATACAGGCGAAAATCGAAAAAATGTTCAGCGAAGTGGCCAAAGACAGTGGAATTCCTATGAATGAAATTGGTGTCCATAGCTTTTCGGTAGATTACCTGGGGTGAGTACTTCGATGGAAAAATGGCGTACCTCCCACGCAATTAGATTATGTTGAGTTTATTTTCACAAAAACCAACTAAAGCCATTGAATGTGAGGTACAGAGCAGACCTGCTTAGGGGCCGTTCAAGTATTACGTAAGCAGATTTATTACAATTATTTACCCTCCCCCCCCCCATTGTCAGCAAAAGTAAGCAAAGCTCTTACCCCCTCCCCCCATAAATTCAAATTAACAGTCTTCAGTCCAAGAAAACCCGAATCCATGATTCTAAGTTTTCGATGACACTGGATTGCTTCGATTACTGCTCAGTGTTGTGAGTTTGCTCGCTTTCATCGGATTTTGGAATGTCTACGTCGTTCTCATCGAGCCATGGTGCTCTAAATTTTGAATAATGCACATCAGTTCATTAGAACGACGAGCAGCGACTCTTACAGGTCTAACTTTCCTATCAGTGTGCGTGTTTACTTTTTTATGGATGTGACGATTTAGTGAGTTAACGGAAGCATGATAAAGACCACATGTTTTGTATGTTCGACTTGATCAACTGTTTTTTTTACTTTTACAGGTGGTGGAAGAAACCTATTGTCTAGTAATATAAATAGGCCACTTCTTGGACGACAGCATTCTGTATTTCTACATTTTACAATTTGAAGCAAGTATTGGCTCTCACGCACATGTTCTGGAAAATCAGGAAGATCTTGTTCACCTGCCCCAACATATTTTGCATTAACATTATAGCCATCAATTTCCATTAAACTCCATACTTCAGCTAATACATTTCCTGCAAATTCAAAATTAGATTTTTCTAAATGTTTATCAATTGTAGCGCCACGTTCATCCAAATGAGACCCAAACTGGTCATGAGGCAATACTAAACCAGCCAGTTCCCGACTAAGAGAAGCCATTCTGCGCTCTACTCTGTTATACGCACTTCTTTCAGAAGCATTGGTAGCTAAAAACAATGCATCGAGATCATGTCGCTTAAAGTGTTGTATAGCAAACCCTATGACTTTTTGATAACGTGGATTTTCATCTGGCACTCCATCAACCGTCATGATTACCACTGGTTTTACTAGCCCATGGTCAGTTTTAGCTAATGGTCGAAACTCTTCAAGTTCGAGAAGCGTCTCGAAATCCTGAGCATGAGTATTAGCAGTAGATGAGCTATGCTTTCCACTTCGAATAGCGATATATATTGGTCCAGAATATCCAACGGCTTGCGGTTGTTCTAGCATATTGAAAGTGATTTTGATACCAGCATAAACAGATGGTATTAATTTATGACGCTAAGCGATTACCCAAACGTGATCAGGCAATTTGATTCTATATTCCATGTGCATTAGAAGAGGTGCTTGCTTATTTTCCGCAGTTACGCCAATAGGGACTCGAGCTTTATCATCTTGAGATATGAGAAATACTTGATCTGGTCCAAGTATGAATGCTATGTTCTCTAAATAATGGATTGATGTTTCAGCGAACTTGCTATCTAAGTGGCTCTTGTGGTGATCAGTTTGAGCCCGAATGAGCTTAACAGGGACTGTTGATACATGTCTTCGTCCCTCTGCAGAATTATATTTTCTGGGAATCAAACGAAGATATGTCCCACTGCGACTAATGTCAAATCCTATTTTACGTAATTCTTGTGTGAGTTCATCAAGAGTTTTTACGCTGCGAATTGATTCCGTTCGTCTTCTATCATCTGCTGCACTCCCAAATAAAGCTGTACCCGCGATTGTTTTCAATAGTGAATGTTGATTGCTTTCAAGATTAGGACGTCCACTGAATCCCTCAGAGATAGTCTTTTTTTTAATTCTGGATTTTCATGTCAAATATCTTCTAACTTTCTTTTCATATCATCCCTGTGTTTCTTCTGGGCAACTGCGTTTTAAACTTCCTGTTTAAAGACTGTTTTGCTGTTTTTATTTCATCGCGCAACTTAATGATCTGTTTATCAACTTCAGCACGGCTTGGTATAGTATCTCTGGCAGAATACAAAGCATTCCGATTTTTTTCGAGTAGAGCAATCTTATTTTTCATAGCTTCCTGAGAAGGTTTTGCTCTCTGTTTATCTGTATTTTTATTAATTTCACATTGCTGATGCGATTCATTACCGGGTTTTATTTTATCTTCTTCCTCTTTTTTAATATTTGAAGCTGACTGTATAATTTGTGTTTTTTCTGCAGGTTTACAGGTTGCCTAAAAATAAAAACTTTCTATGGCTTCTGCTAAAGATTCTCTTATTAAGCTACATAAATACAAAGTATGGCAATATATATGGTAAATACAAAACCCTATGGCTTTAAATCTAATATGTTTAAACGAGCAATTCGTTCCGGTCACAAAATACAGGGTGTTAGTTTTCTCATATATGTATAAAATTAACATCTTGTACTTTGTGACCAATTGACGGAATCAATCATAAGTAATAAATCTATAATATACTTTGAGATAGACCATACTATTTTCTAATCAGTAAAGAGAAACTTTTTGGCGATTTCTAATATTTCTAGTACTCATAGGTACCTAAAATGATTTCGTTACTCACCTTAGAAAAAAATTTAGTACATTAGATTTATTCTTAGTTGCCGCTTGCAATTCTTCTTCGATTCTCTTAGATACAATAATACAGGGTGGGCCATAAGTCCTTTGAAATTTCAAATTTGAATAAAATTTAACGGGTGAGCGTAAGCGGCGTGGGCGAGGTGGGGGCAGTATCATCAGTGTCTGGGAATTCAGTCGCCATGGAGTGTTTCACTGGAGCGGATCGTGCTTTTTGTGTGCGCGCGTTTTATCAAAATAATGATTCGGCAACCATTGCGCGGCGTAAATATCGAGAATACCACAATTTACACAATTTTACAAAGTGTCCAACAGCTCAAACGATTAAGAACTGGGTTGCTAAGTTCGAAGAGACTGGTTCGACGTTAGATAAACAGCGGTGGGGTCGACCAAGGACAACTCGTATTGAAGAAAACATCAACATTGTGGCACAGTCTGTTCGTCAAAATCCTAGCCAGTCTACTCGTAAGCGTTCCAGTGCACTACACGTACCCAGAACATCTTTACAGCGGATTTTAAGGAAATATTTACGTCTGCACGCTTACAAAATTCAGTTAGTGCAGGAATTAAAAGATAATGACGCTATTCAGAGACTAAACTTTGCGAATGAAATGTTGAATCGATTTTCTTCGCTCAATAATGTGTAGTTCTCGGACGAGACACTTCCATTTAAACGGGCATGTAAATAAACAAAATTGCCGTTATTGGTGCCCCGAAAATCCAAGGCGTAAGCATCAGAAGCCCTTACACAGCCCTAAAGTTACAGTTTGGGCTGCTATGTCAGCGCATGGCATCGTAGGCTCTTATTTTTTTGAGGACGACAGAGGTCGCGCATTAACTGTTACTTCGGAGCGGTAGGTAGCAATGATAGAAGAGTTTTTGACACCAGCGTTGCAGAATTTTCCAGGCTATAATACGCAGACCTGGTTTCAACAGGACGGAGCACCTGCCCACACCTCCAACACTTCTATGCCCGTCGTCTGTCAACTTTTTCCCAGCAAAGTAATTTCTCGAAGAGGAGACATTTTCTGGCCACCACGTAGTCCAGATTTGACCCCAATGGACTTCTTTTTATGGGGCTACCTCAAGAGTAAAGTGTACGACACCACTCCGCGATCAGTTGATGTCCTGAAAGAAAATATCCGAAGAGAAATGGCAAGCATTACAGTGTTGACTTGCCGCGCAGTCATCGACAATTTTAGACGTCGTTTATATGAGTGCCGTGATCGTAATGGATTGCATTTAGACGATGTGATTTTTAAAACATAATTCCCATTCAATAAAGATGATAACAAAATATAATAATTCTTCATAATGTAACTAGTTTGGTTTTATTCCTTTTTTTCCAGCTCAAAGGACTAATGGGCCACCCTGTATCTAGTTCCTTGTCGGATTTTGCTTGTAATTTGTAATTTCGCCACCCTTCGTCAACTAACTTTTGTACATTTTGTACTTTCGTACTTGTATGAGATTTTTTCAAACTTTCAAACTATTTTTGGTATGACTTGGATTTGTCTATGTGAAACGACATCTTATTTAAACATTAAACTTTGGCTAATGGACTCAATGGTAACACAAATGTTAACTTGCTTTACTATGCTTACAATACGTCTACTCGCTATAGTATCCAAACGAAACAATACACTGATAGAGGAAATTTAGACAAGCAAACACCGCGCGGTAATTCCCCTACTCGGTCCTAAAGCGAGTAGGGGAATTACCGCGCGCTGTTCACTAAACGTATGCATTATTTGCGGGAATCCCCGAAAATGCGTTTCGTTTTCAAGCAAAGACAATGTGAAGGTTGCCATTTGTCTAAAAAAGTAAATAACTACCGATGACGTTATCATCATCTAGACCCCCCTACCCCCCATGTCATCCAAAATAAGCAAAGCAAAGACCGCCCCCCCATAGTGCTCACGTAATACTTGAATGGCCCCTTATCTCATATTCTATTTACTGTATTTGATATGGCAGTTTTTTGCATTGCAAGAGTTTTAGATAAGCGTTTGATTAAGCATTATAAATAAAATTCGCCACAATCTAAATCATTTTTTAATTACCCCAATTATGCATGAGATATTCAATCAGAATTCTCGGAAATCTGTTCACCGAATCTCGTAAAAATAAGAACAATGTCCTTGAGCGTGCTAAAAATGTATTATTTTTCATTCTCTTATCTTGTTATTTTTTTTGTAGGTCAGTTCCTTTACAGGAAAAGGTAACAAGCCTCTCGGGTCTTCAAAATCCATTACGCAATCTTTATTTTGCATACAAGAAAATAGTCAAAACGAAAAAAGCTCTGACAGGGCGGCTAGAAATATCAAGCCAAGGACTTAAAGTGCAATATCAAGGAGAGAAAGGTACGTAAGCACCACGATAATACATACGTATATACATATCTACAATATAAAAAGTAGATAATAATTTAATATTATAATATAATAAAAAGAATTGTAAGTTTAGTGTAAAATGCAGAAAAAACATTGTTTTATATCAGACGTTAAAAAAGTTCAAAAATCACCATTCATCCCTTAGGTTTATACTTCTCCTTTTCCGAAAATAATGGAGCATTGCCTACTATGACCTTACATTATGAAAAAACTCGTTATTATCGATGCAGCTGTTATATTAGTAACGAAACTACTAAAGGCTGCACACACCTAAATTTACCGAAATTACTGGAACTTTTTTCATTAGCCCTATTTTGAACAACACTGTAATTTTTGGGGTCAAGTCATACAGTGATAAATTCCGTAATGTGCGAAAAGATAATGCAATGCATCATTCGATGATGCAAATCTGCTCCACACATCATTAATCCGAGGTCGACGCTTGCAGGGAGGTTAACCGATTGCTTTTTTTCTTATTTGTTTACTTTGTTATCAGGTTATAATTACAGAATGATACCATTTTTCATTTAAATGTTGACTGTAATTTATCACGGTACCCATTACTGATATTGGATTGCCTAGTGAGTTTCTATACTACACGGTTTCAAAATAAAATAGGTGGCCTTGATACCAACTTGACGTTTATTGTGAGATAGTTTCTCAAAGTTATGTGTTATATGGTTGTTATCGTTACCACTATCATTTTCTTTTTGTAAAAGTCAACTTAAAAGTCTCTTTTTCCATCTCTGCTACTGGTGCACGTTAACTTTAAGTAAAAACTTTGGAATGTGGACAATACTTAGGTAAATCCACATACCAGATTTTAGTTCATCCCAGTTGAAGGTTTTTATCATCTATATAACTTGTTATCACCTATTTTATTCTAATGTAGTCATGTATATTGTTGTTGTATCCTGTTGAAGTTCCATATCCGCAAAGCAAATTGAATAAAAACCATTATTATTATTATGTAGTGATCAAAAATAATTTCCAGGTGACTTAGAACAGTTGAACTCCTTTCCAACGATAGCCGTATGGAGTGCTGTAAAGTTCGTAATCCACAACAGTGAGAGCGAAGCGAATAATGATAGTCTCTCCTACGCTTTCCTACCTCTTATCACCGATCCCGAGCACGTGGACAAGCAAGGGCTGTTCAGGAGTTTATCTCAATCCGAAAAGAAGTTTATCACAGACGAAGCGCACTCACCTCTTTTTGCTGTGGTCATGAGAAAAATTGGGGTCCACAAACAACTTGAATGTCATGGGTATGCGTATATAGATTTTAGTTGTTTATTGAAGTACGTTGCTATTTTGCCGATCGAGAAATACGTTTCAAGATATGGAAAAAACCATTTTGAGAAAATTCGGTTTTATCCGTCTGTCTTTGGAAGTACTTTGGATTTCGGAACTTTCCAAGCGACATTTCGTTAGTTATCTGAATACGCAACTTTACCTCCATTTAAGTGGCTTCGTATCTCTTACCGTTTCCAATGGTGAGGGTCAAGTTTGAAACACACGGTACATTGAATTGCACATACACTTTTTTTTTGACGAGAGCAGCAATTCAATTTTAAGATAAACGCTTCATAAAATTGTAATTAATATACGTGATATATATACTAAGTGACATATAAATCCGAACACCCAGTTTAAATGGTTTTATTTTAATAAAATTTTGTATAAGTACTTAATGAAGCATACTAAGTAAATGATAAAAATTTCAAAATGATTGCACTGCTTTAAAGCCCTTTGACCTTTAATAATGTGTGGATGCACCCTGATGTGCTACGCATTCTCCAACGCGCCTAGGCATGCTTCTGATCAGGTGGTCAATGTCCTCCTGTGGTATCTCATTCCAGGCAACCACCAACTCCTCTCGAAGTGCTTCTAGAGTCTGAGGAGGACGTTGCAAATTGAGCAATCTCCTACCCATCATATCCCACACGTGCTCAATTGGGGATAAGTCGGGAGATCTTGGTGGCCATGGTAACAATGTGACATCATTATGTTGAAAGAAGTCTATTGTGACTCTTGCAACATGTGGTCGGGCATTATCTTGTTGGAAAGTTGGATCTGCCAGGGTGTCAAGATAGGGTAAAAGATGGGGTTCTAGAACTTCGTGGATATAACGCTGCGCGTTCATGTTACCTCTGATGAAGATTAAAGGTGACCTGGAACCATAAGCTATAGCACCCCAAACCATAACTCAACAGTGTGATGAACATGTCTTTCAACAAAAACTGTGGATTCCTCCTTTCACCACGTCGCCTTCTAACCCTGGCACGACCATCGTGCATGCCCAAACAAAATCGAGACTCGTCACTAAAGACAATACTGTTCCATTCCTGATCCCAGAGTGACCGTTGTCTGCACCACTCAAGGCGATTACGTCGGTGTTCTCGAGTTAAAGGGAGGACCCAGTGTGGCCGGTATGAAAACAAGCCAAAACTTCTCATTCGTCGGTAAACACTTCGCATGCCAATAGGTCTTCCGTGTTCTGCAAACCATTCATTTGCAATGGACCTGGTAGTGGAGAAACGGTCCCTTAAGGCCAATAATCTTAGGCGGCGATCTTCACGGTCTGTTGTTCTACGGCGGCGTCCAGTGCCCCTTGCTCTTTGCGTACAGCCTTCTCGAAGCCATGCCTGACAACACCTAACCACAGTGTCTACACTTCTTTGCACTCTAACTGCAATTACCCGAAAAGAAAGTCCAGCTTCCCGAAGTCCCACTATACGGCCCCTATCAAACTCACAAAGTTGACGAAATCGTACAGGTCTCCGTACTCTAGGCATCGTAACCGATCGTAAAGGATGTCAAGAACCAAAATCCGCCAACGTTGATTCTTTACTGCGGCTGAAATATTCATTTTTAGAGCGTTAGTGAATTAAAAAAAAGCAGTATAAAAACCGGAATGTCCAACTGGAAAGGCTGAAAATTTTTTCACTTGTTATTTACAGTAAGATAAATACATTCACCAACTTTTATTAAAATAAAACCATTTAAACTGGGTGTTCGGATTTATATGTCACTTAGTATATAAAATGCAACACCCAGAATTATTTATTGAATTTTGATAAACATTTCTAGGCATATTTGCTATCATGGAAGTACTGGTATTCGCCGATAAAATGTTTTTGTAAAAAATCAGTATCCAAACAATATGAACATGTTTACTTAATATTTAGTGATTTTTCTGTGTTGGTCCCAGTTATTGTTTCATACGCAAACATACAACAAAATAACCGAAATTCACATGTCAGTCAAAAGCTTTCATGTGCTGTGCGTAATATTAAAGTTAATCTTTCGTCAATGTTATTATACGGTTAATAATGTTACGGATTGTTCCAGTTCCAAAGCATCAATGTTTTTGTGAAAAACATTACAGGACGTGTTTGCAGGGACGCGACTGGTGGCGCAATAAAACAACTTATCATAATAAAGTATGTCATTTTATATCATCTTGCAACATGCCAAAAATGGCAATATTATCTACGATGGTTTCGCAAATATAAAATAAAAAAAATGTTCTTCTTAAAAATTCAACACCCTGTAGCTAAAAATGTAAGTCACTCAGTATAGTTCATTCTGCTCTTCCTCGCTATGACCGCTGTGTTGCCCATAGCGTCACCTATGAAGGAATGACTGAACGACCATGCCGCAAGCCAGTTCGCTGACATGTTTTGTTGGTTGCAGAATACCGAGATGGTGTGTAAAGTATACTAAATGACATATAAATCCGAACACCCAGTTTAAATGGTTTTATTTTAATAAAAGTTGGTGAATGTATTTATCTTACTGTAAATAACAAGTGAAAAAATTTTCAGCCCTATCAGTTGGACATTCCGGTTTTTATACTGCTTTTTTTAATTCACTAACGCTCTAAAAATGAGTATTTCAGCCGCAGTAAAGAATCAACGTTGGCGGATTTTGGTTCTTGACATCCTTTACGATCGGTTACGATGCCTAGAGTACGGAGACCCGTACGATTTCCTCAACTTAGTGAGTTTGATAGGGGCCGTATAGTGGGACTTCGGGAAGCTGGACTTTCTTTTCGGGCAATTGCAGTTAGAGTGCAAAGAAGTGTAGACACTGTGGTTAGGTGTTGTCAGGCATGGCTTCGAGAAGACAGTACGCAAAGAGCAAGGGGCACTGGACGCCGCCGTAGAACAACAGACCGTGAAGATCGCCGCCTAAGATTATTGGCCTTAAGGGACCGTTTCTCCACTACCAGGTCCATTGCAAATGAATGGTTTGCAGAACACGGAAGACCTATTGGCATGCGAAGTGTTTACCGACGAATGAGAAGTTTTGGCTTGTTTTCATACCTGCCACACTGGGTCCTCCCTTTAACTCGAGAACACCGACGTAATCGCCTTGAGTGGTGCAGACAACGGTCACTCTGGGATCAGGAATGGAACAGTATTGTCTTTAGTGACGAGTCTCGGTTTTGTTTAGGCATGCACGATGGTCGTGCCAGGGTTAGAAGGCGACGTGGTGAAAGGAGGAATCCACAGTTTTTTGTTGAAAGACATGTTCATCACACTGTTGGAGTTATGGTTTGGGGTGCTATAGCTTATGGTTCCAGGTCACCTTTCATCAGAGATAACATGAACGCGCAGCGTTATATCCACGAAGTTCTAGAACCCCATCTTTTACTCTATCTTGACACCCTGGCAGATCCAACTTTCCAACAAGATAATGCCTGACCACATGTTGCAAGAGTCACAATAGACTTATTTCAACATAATGATGTCACATTGTTACCATGGCCACCAAGATCTCCCGACTTATCCCCAATTGAGCACGTGTGGGATATGATGGGTAGGAGATTGCTCAATTTGCAACGTCCTCCTCAGACTCTAGAAGCACTTCGAGAGGAGTTGGTGGTTGCCTGGAATGAGATATCACAGGAGGACATTGACCACCTGATCAGAAGCATGCCTAGGCGCGTTGGAGAATGCGTAGCACATCAGGGTGCATCCACACGCTATTAAAGGTCAAAGGGCTTTAAAGCAGTGCAATCATTTTGAAATTTTTATCATTTACTTATTATGCTTCATTAAGTACTTATACAAAATTTTATTAAAATAAAACCATTTAAACTGGGTGTTCGGATTTATATGTCACTTAGTATATATTTATTAGCTGTACAGGAGATTTATTTGTATGGTCCTTTCTGAAAAGATGGTTCAAAGTTGTAAATTACGACTTTCTCCTTTTTGCGTTTTCAAAAATTTTGTGAAGCAGTACAGGAAATCACAACCACCCCCGCGTTGTGTGTAATTATGCCACATCATAGAAAAATTAGGAATGACCCATCACACAAAATATTTTCGCAGAGCCTTACATCTACGCGCTGACGTATTTTCTACTTACTTGACATCGCAAAATGAATTTCTATAAAATTTAAATGGCTGAAAATATAAAATAACGCAAAATATATATACTAAGTGACATATAAATCCGAACACCCAGTTTAAATGGTTATATTTTAATAAAATTTTGTATAAGTACTTAATGAAGAATAATAAGTAAATGATACAAATTTCAAAATGATTGCACTGCTTTAAAGCCCTTTGACCTTTAATAATGTGTGGATGCACCCTGATGTGCTACGCATTCTCCAACGCGCCTAGGCATGCTTCTGATCAGGTGGTCAATGTCCTCCTGTGGTATCTCATTCCAGTCAACCGCCAACTCCTCTCGAAGTGCTTCTAGAGTCTGAGGAAGACGTTGCAAATTGAGCAATCTCCTACCCATCATATCCCACACGTGCTCAATTGGGTATAAGTCGGGAGATCTTGGTGGCCATGGTAACAATGTGACATCATTATGTTGAAAGAAGTCTATTGTCACTCTTGCAACATGTGGTCGGGCATTATCTTGTTGGAAAGTTGGATCTGCCAGGGTGTCAAGATAGGGTAAAAGATGGGGTTCTAGAACTGCGCGTTCATGTTACCTCTGATGAAGATTAAAGGTGACCTGGAACCATAAGCTATAGCACCCCAAACCATAACTCCAACAGTGTGATGAACATGTCTTTCAACAAAAAACTGTGGATTCCTCCTTTCACCACGTCGCCTTCTAACCCTGGCACGACCATCGTGCATGCCTAAACAAAATCGAGACTCGTCACTAAAGACAATACTGTTCCATTCCTGATCCCAGAGTGACCGTTGTCTGCACCACTCAAGGCGATTACGTCGGTGTTCTCGAGTTAAAGGGAGGACCCAGTGTGGCCGGTATGAAAACAAGCCAAAACTTCTCATTCGTCGGTAAACACTTCGCATGCCAATAGGTCTTCCGTGTTCTGCAAACCATTCATTTGCAATGGACCTGGTAGTGGAGAAGCGGTCCCTTAAGGCCAATAATCTCAGGCAGCGATCTTCACGGTCTGTTGTTCTACGGCGGCGTCCAGTGCCCCTTGCTCTTTGCGTACGGCCTTCTCGAAGCCATGCCTGACAACACCTAACCACAGTGTCTACATTTCTTTGCACTCTAACTGCAATTGCCCGGAAAGAAAGTCCAGCTTCCCGAAGTCCCACTATACGGCCCCTATCAAACTCACTAAGATGACGAAATCGTACAGGTCTCCGTACTCTAGGCATCGTAACCGATCGTAAAGGATGTCAAGAACCAAAATCCGCCAACGTTGATTCTTTACTGCGGCTGAAATATTCATTTTTAGAGCGTTAGTGAATTAAAAAAAAGCAGTATAAAAACCGGAATGTCGAACTGATAAGGCTGAAAATTTGTTCACTTGTTATTTACAGTAAGATAAATACATTCACCAACTTTTATTAAAATAAAACCATTTAAACTGGGTGTTCGGATTTATATGTCACTTAGTATATTTTCACGTTTCATAAAAATTAGCCTATTTTCTCACGTTTCCTTTGAGTTACAGCATACAACTTAAAAACATATATAAGATCAAAGACCGACATAGTGTCACCTTTCAATACACATAATAATCATTTAAGGAATAGCCTTTATACAAAAGAAATTTTCATAGCATTCATTTCATAGGTTTGTATGTCAAACTTCCGAAGATGCCATAGTGATAGCAGCCACTCTGTACAAAGCACTCGTGGCTCACATGAAAGCGAAAGAGAAGAGGCCAAAAAATAAAAATGGCGTCACTACTTGTATGTCCGTCACTTCGAGTACTACTTACAACGAGCAAAGCAACTCGGTGCCGGTTAGACCTCCAAGAAAGAAGAAAAGTTCTACTTCTTCTGTACTTAGTGACAATGACTTGATCAGTGTAAGTAACAACAGAAACCTTTCAGATATTGAAAAAGATGTTATTTCGGTGTTTTCTGGGATTATTTTTCTTGCTGACAATTTGCGGCAAACAGTTTCGATTTTAGGAGACACAAAATGTTTCTTTACTTTAGCAAAACATCGCAAGAACAGTTTTGTGCGTTTCTTGTTTTTCTGCATTGTTCAAACATTAAAGAGACGATTGTATTCTTAGACGATACCGCTCTGGAGATACAGGTCTCTAAAGGTCGCTACTGTTAATAATTTATCTTAAATATCTGTTGGAGAGCGCTACGTTATTCATTAAAATTTTGCCAACATATGACGGTTGTAAATTAAGTGATGTAAGTCATGAGTTCCCTTGAGGTGATTTTTTAACTGCGGGAAGAGAGAAAAAAGTCACAAGGGCTCAAGTCTGGCGAATAAGGAGGCTGGGCAGTCACAGGAATGTTCTTACTGGCTAACTCGTTTATTAACATTCTGTCAACCAACGAACTGACCGCACATGATTCTGTCCATATTTTCATCGGTTATTCAAGATGAAAGGCTTCCGCTTCGTGGTTCATCTTCAATCGAGTCTCTTCCTTCTGAAAATGCCTTAAACCACTTGAGCTCTTGATAAAACACTATCTCTGTGGCCCTGCTGAAGTTCAGCGAGAGTTCCCGTTGTGCCCAAGTCTGAAGCAAAACCTGATAGTACACCGTTGCTCGAAATTGATGTCACTCATTTTTAGAACACAATAGAAAAATCTCTACAGACCAGTTGACAGCTCACTGAATGATGTCTATGGAAAACAAATTATTCACTCAAATCGCCAGATGTATAATAATGACTCAAAAATAATATAAGTTGGGGTTTTCCTTTACACGACGTGTAGATCTTGAAAACATAAGCAATTTTTCTTAGTACCATATACACCAATGTCTTAAGGGAACCGAGATAAAGGGCTCTGCAACATCAAAAATATCTGAATACCGTCCTGTAGCCGCGACATCCCCGACTGGTACTAGGACACTAGCTCAACCCGACGACAAAACTGGGTCGGGGTCAGTGTGTCAGGTCAGTATGCAACCTTCAACCGATGGTTACGGTCACGCGTGTAGAGGTAATCGCGTAGACGAGAATCCCTCAAAAAGCACTAAAGACGTGGCTAGAGAAGTGCAAGTATCAAAAACTAAAGTGTGACAAACGCTGCGTGAAGAGGGGCTGTATCCGTTTCACGTCCAACGTGTACAAGCCCTTCAACCTGACGATTTTCCAGCAAGAGTGCGGATTTGTGAGTGGTTGTTGCATCAACATGACAATAATCCGGACTGTTTGAAGTGCATATTGGTGACAGACGAATCTACGTTCAAGCGTAATGGGGTGAATAACTTTCGCAACACTCATGTTTGGTCAGTAGAAAATCCGCACGCTGTCCGTCGGGCACATGTTCAACAAACATTTTCGGTGAATGTTTGGGCTGGCATGGTGAGCGGTCTGCTCATTGGACCATTTATTCTCCCAAATCGATTGGACGGGATGCAATACCTAGACTTTTTACGCAACATTTTGCCTTCCTTGTTAGAAGATGTGCCATTAAGTGTAAGACAATCAATGTGGTTTCTGCGTCTGCTCGGTAGCGCAACAGCTGATTTCATTTTCTGTTGGAGCGGTATGATTTCGGGCAGAGACGTACTTAGCCCTTCTCGTCAACTGGAGAGTGAGTAGTTTTTCCTTTATTTGTTTTTTACTTGGTAGCCCTCGTTTCACTACACATTACCTTTGTTATTTCAAGGGTAGTTGTTTCTGAAAAGGAAAACCCCAACTTTGCGGACACCCTGTATTTGGAAGGACTCACCATCCTCTACCTAAATAGCATATTTTTGTTTGATTTCCATAAAATGTACCATTTTTGAAACAAGCAGTTTTATTCTATCGATTTACACTGCAGCCAAGCCCCAAAAAGTTGTGAATAAACGTTAAACATTATTGAGAAATAATCTGGAATTTTATATAACCGGGGTTTGTCAACACGCTGTTATCAAAATTGCTGTTTTAAAAAATGTTAAAACATATTTCCAGTGGCGCCTTTTAGGGGTCTGTATTTCTCAATTCAATCACTCTTGAATTTTCGTGCAACGTTTTGAGCTTCGGCAAACGGTAACTCCATGCAGTTTTCCCTCTTTCTTACGAGATCAGTATATAATTTTCTTGTTTATATATATTTTCAGCTATCGGATACTAAACCGCTACTAAATTCTAAGCCTCCCAAAAAGAGAAGAGCCCCAAAGGCTCCGTCTCCGCCTAAAGATAATGATCTCGATGCCATTTTACCTTACGAGGAACCCGTCAAGCCTCCTGATATAGAGAACGGAGAAAATATTATTAAAGAAAATCGGGGAGGCCAACATCAAGAAAGGCAAAGTGAGGAAGTATTGGAAATAAAACCAAAAACCTTTACCGGTAAGCTCACTGTGAATAATTATTTCGAATTTTTCCACCTTAAGTGGAAAAAGTATATGTAACATAGACCGATTTTTCCATGGAAAGTATACAGAATCAATTAACCAAACTGGATCACTTAAAGGTATTTACCATCAACTATCTATATCGTTGCCATTACGTCAATCACCGAGTTAATTTTTCATGCATTCGTATATTATCTTCGTTGCCAAGACAGATGTAATCCTTTGACGTCAACCTTTCGTTTCTCATTTATAATATCATTAATCAACATATTGTGCAATGAGGAAAATGCAAAAATTGTATTTATGAAAATTGCATGAAACGATAGAAGAACGCTCCTCGCAATATTTTTATTCATTGCTAATAATGGTTTTGATCAATAAACAGAGATTAAAAATTATTCGAAACTGAATGTACGCTTTAATCCACAAACGATTGCCAGAGGCGTTGCCCCTTTCTATAACAAGACATTTGATGTAATTGGTCAATTATTATGACAGTTATGTGACAGATGTCAGATTGCTTTGTCTGGAGCGTTTTTCAGCTCTGAGCTCCGATTGAATTAGGAATGATTTCTTCTTAGTTTCTGGATCAGAAACTGGTGCTCCGGCTAGCAAAAATCAAATCTATTATCAATTATTCCTGGACTAGAAGAGTGTGTGAAAGCTGTTGGGCACTGCGATCTGATATCTATCACAAGTGCCCTAAGACATATAATGACTACTGACGAGAGAACAACAGTGTCGCTATCTTGACTATATGATTGTTTTCTTGCAGGAAAAAGACCGTTAAAACAGTATTTTATACAAATGAATTGATTTTATTTTATTCACCCTGTGCTATTATTTCATAGATAAACTGTATACATGTATGAGCAAAGAGCAAAAACAGTTGACTGCTGAAATCAAGCAGATCATGAGCGAAGGAGGAGGAAAATTGAAAAAAGTACAAAACGTGCGGAAAGGCGAACCGGATACTATAAGGAAGAAGGAAAATTCCACTGGTGATATTTTAACGAAAGTTACGATACCCAGATCTGGAAGTTTCCTGAACGCCGGTGGAATCACACGGTATAAGAACAAAGGTTCTAGGTACGTTGATTGATTAATTCTGCTTTAATAAATTATTGCTGTAATGCATTGTCTAATTTTACTTGGCTATGACTTCAAAGACGACCTTTCACCTCAATGGTCCATCGTCTCAAATATAGTCAACGCCAAACAAAGTGGCGTGCACGTCATCAAGGTGGGTGTGTTGAAAAATTTACATTGTTGCCAAACTTTTTGTAAAATAATAAAATTTATTATTTACATATCTAGGTTTATAAGCAATATTAACCTCAAATGAGAACAAAAATAATAGTATAATAAAATTATAGATCTGTACTTGCATAATCATTAAGTATGACAATTATTGATCAGATGACACTATGAAACTACCATATTTAATTGATAGCTTAAAGGTACTGAATAAAAATCCAAATGGGGTCCTCCAAATTTTATGCATGGTATTTATTTTACAGAATTCATACAGAAAAATGCATTCTAAAATTAGGTAAGCTACTAGTGTAAGCTTTTTCTGTACAATAAAGTTAGTCGGAGTTTCTTTCTTCAGCGCTGTCTGAATCTGAATCTTCATCACTCTCAAAGTTGATTATTAAAGGTTCGATGTCTGGTCGATCAAAAATTCGTTCTCTTTCATACCATTTAAAAATTTCTTGCTCAGTATGTCGAACACTATTTTTCCACATGTCTGGGGTAACCGTTTGTAGAGCCTCGTTCCACATATCCAAACAGTCTTTTTCACTGTTACCATCTCTACCAATATGTCTGTTATAGTAACCTTTTGCTATACCCCAAATTAACTCAATAGGGTTAAATATACAATGGTAAGGAGGCAGACGAAGAACTTTGTGCCCATGTTGTTCCGCCAATTCATCAATCACGTATATTTTAGGTGGTTTGTTTCTAAAAAAGCAGTTATTTTAAGAATAGGAATAAACAAAAGAAATATAAACTGTCGACCAAAATATATATAATTAAGAAGCATTATGTACCGAGCAACAATACTCAATAGCTCTGTTTTAAACATTGTGTTTAAAAATGGTATGTTTTGATTTGTCAACCAGTCTTGGATATTTTTTTTGTCCATGCATTGTTGGGCACTTTGTTCAATATCATGCTGTGATAAGGGGCGTTATCCAGTATAATCATAGATGGACTCTCCAATTTTTCTAATAACTGATGTTGAAACCATTTCAAAAATTGTCCTGGTTCATCTCTCCATGGTAATCGCTCAATTTTGTTTTCGAAGAAATATCGCTTCACTACCCTCAATAAACCCATTTTCATTTCCAGCATGTAATATAATGTATCTAAAATATATTAGTTTTAAATTTTATAGTGCAAATTGTGTAAAAGTACATACCTTTTACCATCTGTTTTAATAGCTTTCACGCTTTTTTGGTTTCCATTTTGCCAAGAGCGACCTATGGTCCCATTTTGAAATATCCAAGTTTCATCGAGGAAGACAAACTGGTATAAGGCCTCAACCTTGGCTTGATTGTATTGCCTTAGAAATTCCACCCTTTTCAAAGCTATACTTGGTAGTTCCATGAGCCCTCGTCGCGGATTGTCCTTAAGCCACTTAAATCCAAGATCTCTAAGCAACCGCCTTAAAGACGTGGCACTACCATCAAATAATGCCCTATCTCTTAATCGAGACCATAAAGTTTGTATCGTAACTTGTTCTTCTGAAACCATGTGTAATATGACATTATAATTTAGTTAACAAATTAATGCAAATTTCTGATAAGTTATTATAATAAGATCTTACTTTTGTGATACATATTATAGATCACTTCTCGAATGGCACTTGTATCCAATGTCGCTGTGTTGGTTACACGTTTAATATAACTACGCTTTTTCTTGGGCGATTCTAAATTTGCATCACTTTTCACACCCTCGGAAATACGACTAACTGTCCTTAAACTAATTTTTAAAGCAGCAGCAACACGCTACAAAAAATGAAATAAAATTTCACTATTATTAATATACATTACATATAATTATTAGTAACCTACCTCTTGAACAGCATTTAAAGGCAACAAAGGCCCGTTGTTGTCCCTTTCTTGCTCAAAGTAGTGCATTAACGAGGCCACGAGTTCCTTACACCGACTATTTAACTGTTTGGGCATCTTTATATACCAAAATTGCCTTTATCTACTCGTAAAATGAATAATTTTGTTTTGAAACAAACAGTTGTTGATTTACAGTATGCGGGGCCAAAGGATTTATAAAGATTTGAAATGCCACAAATTGATTCAGTGTCAAAATTAATACAAATGTAAGTTCCCAGTTTAAATAAGTTTCAAGGTGACAATGTGTCAACGCTGCGAAATCGGTTTAGTGCGTTTACATGTCGATAAGTGATTGAAGCGTTTGCAAAACATTTTATTTCGCATAATGCGTCTAAATTTATCAGAAAGCAACTTATGTGATATTTTAATAACAATGTTTATATGACTATTAACCATAATAAGAGAGTAATGACCATTTTACAATTTATATATCACATTAATATGAAACTGCAATAGAGCAATTGTCTGTGATAGAAACCTAGGCATTAGGTCGGGGAATTTTTATCGTGATGACGTGCACGCCACTTTGTTTGGCGTTGACTATAGGTTCATTGCAGGCACAACATATACAGGGTATTTAAAAAGTTAGGAAACGTCAAATAATTGGTGGTTGGTGGTGGGATAAGCTCTATAACTGATCCCCACCAGGTAAAATGAAGGCCTATTGTTATTAATAATCAATCTGAGAATCATCTTGAATTTACCCTAGAGCTTAACCGTCAAGGTCATTTCAAGGATAACTTCATTTTTTAATTGAGACCGGAAATTGGATAGAGCGGAAAATTTTAAGTTCGTCATTGCACTGAATTGATTCGATCGTTGTCAGGAGGGTAATTTTTTTCATCTAAAGGTCGCCCGTCCCTTTTTTCAACTGCCTGTTTCAAACAATATTATATTATGTATCCCTCGAAGAAACAGACCAAACCTAAACATATTCACGTATACTCCACGCGATCGCGCTCCAGAACGCCGAGCACGTTACAGGGCCGTACTAAGAATAAATGATTTGTGATCAAAAAGTATGCAAAATTATTGCAGGCATGTATAGAGTCCAAACGTCAAGCTTGGAATTAATATATTTTTTTTAATTTAACTGTCATGACCAAAAAGAAAACAAAGGTCTATTGTTGTTTTTAGTAGAAGTATTTTATCGAGAAATTATACTCGAAATGTGTCGTAAGGCGCATTTATAAAGCAGGCTTTTGAAAAATGGCTTGACACATTAAAACGATAATTGCATATGCATACAAGCATTCCTAACCACCGCTTGAACAGGGACGTCAGTGTGCAAACAGTTAATTTTAATATTAGTCTAAAAAATGAATAGTTAGGTGGAGTTGAAAGAAAAAGGATTTGAATAAATAATAATATATACTAAATATTATACAAAAACTTATTGCACAGACATTTCACCTCTAAAACCGGAAATACATATATTTGAAAATGAAAATCATTCTAGATCTGAGGCCGAGGAATTCCCTTTGTCATCAAGATTATGATTGAAGGGGCAACGTGAGTATCAATGATACCACCTAATTCCCACATTTTAGGATCGATCTTTTCTTTTTCATGCTGATACATTTTCCCACTTATTCGGTGTTATTCTTTGTATAGCATCATGAAAAATATTTTTAAGTTCAGAAAATTTAAAACATTTATTTTCTGATGCAACATATTTTTTCATGTCTGCCCAAAGGAGCCCAATCGGATTGAGCTCACAATGGTAAGGAGGCAGTCGTAAAACAGTTTTATTTTGTTTTTTGGCCATTTCATCAATTATGTTCAGGTTTTCAGTATTGAAAAATATGTAGGTGTCAGCTTTGCAAACAATATCCTTAACACTTGAGTCACTCCTTCCCTGAATTTCGTATTTATAAATGTTCATAATTATTCGTTTTTCGCTAACGCTAAAATGAAGCCTTTCAGCTCTTTTTTTAGGCGGTGTGCAGCTTATATCAACAACTTCATCAGCTGTATCCGTATCAGACATTTTGAGTTCTACGAAATTAAACTGACAAATCGAATAAGCACACTGTAATACCAGTATAAATCTGATTCCAACTCTGTTCTGTACGGCCAGCCACCTGCATCACGGTCGTATCGTCTCCCACTCCACCCTCTGGTTTGTCATTGGTTTTGTGTAATACCCTCTCCACACAGTGTTGCCAGAGCGAAGTTTAAAATATCCGTCACACGTATCGCAAAATTCCGCTACATGCCGCTACGGTCTAAAAATTTAAGGGGGGGGAGGCCTAAAATAAACAACAAATATATTTTTTACATATTTACTTTTTTTTAAACACTGTCTAAAAACCCTACTAAAGATACAAACAGTAACATAATATAATTGCAATTTTTCGTAAAAACATAAAAAGTATACCACTAAAAAACAAAACTCTTGGTTTAGAATTAGGAACTAATGAAAAAATAGAAACTATCACCAATATCTTAATCTTAATAGAAAAAAAACAAAAAAGAAAGACAAAGAATAAGCGGAAACGTGGAAATGCCTACGTTTGCTTATTTTATCCACCAGTCAGAATCAGAAATTACTTCTTCTTCAGCTTGTTCTTCCTTATTTACATTATATAAATTCTTTCTATATTTGTTTAAATGATTCTCATTAAAACTATAGGATAAACAGCACTGTTTTTTTGATTCCAAGTCTAATTTAATTGTAAGTAGTGCAGACAAAGTTGATGGTATTATTTTATTTCTTTTTTTTGTTTTGTAATCAAGCATATAAGAAAAAGTTCGCTCAACATCAGCGTTTCCATGAGGCAATGTTAAAATGATTAGAGCCAGTTTACATATATTGCGAAATAAATATTCGTCATTAAAATTTTTGAGGTCAATTCAATGACATTACTTTTGTTTTTAAAATTCCCTCTTTCTCACTATCACTAAATAAATACATATTTTCTTTAGTTCCAAAATTGCCTTTTCGGTTTC